TAAATAAAAATTTAAATTATATTTCTTCGCATCTGTTTCCATAGACTTCAATCCTTCTACAATAAATTTCAATTGTCTATCATTCTTTTTAATTTGATCTAAATTACATCCTAAATAAAGTTCTGATTTAAGTTTATCAGATATTTGATAACCTAGTATTACACTATGATTCTCATGAATCCTCTTATCTCTACCCATAAAGTACAATACATTCTTATCATCCTCTACATCATTCAATTTCTCCATCCTTTTATCCATTGATACATCTTTAAATGTACTTGAAACTTTTACCTTCTTTGTTTGTTCCATAAAATAAACTTAATTAAAATTTTTTTAATTAATTTAAAGTCATAAACATTTTATTTATCTTTATAAATATCATCTATCATTTTAGTTAGTAAGTGAATTTCATCTTTTAGTAATTTAATTTCTCTTTCATGTTGTGACTTCATTTCAGTTATAGCAGCCTTCATGGAATTCCAATTAATTTCTTGATTATTAATTTTTTCGATTGATTTTTTATAAAATTCTAGTTTTAATTGCTCCAAAGAATTTAAATTATCAACTTTAAATTTCTTAAAATTTTCATTTACATACTGAGTGTTTGTTGTATTTTCTTTATAAAAACTATCTAATAATGCTTCTTCTACATGATAATCTGATTTAGATGTATTTATTATTTTGTTTCCTGGACTATTAAATTCATTAATAAAATCAATTTTCCCAAGACTTTCATTACCTTCTGATTTAATTGTTTTAATTTCCTTTTTTATCTCTTCAATATCATTTGATTCTATTAAATTATCATGATTCTTTTTAATTTCTTTCTTATTGTTATCATTTTCTTCCATCATTTTTTGATGATCATTCATTATCATTAAAATTTCATCCTTTGCTTCATCTTCATTTACCTCTAAGTATTCACTATTTTCATAATTTTTTATATAACTGTAATGAAATATCTCCCAGTAAATCCATTTGCTTGGATTAGATGATTTAGTATAGTTTTGATAATCACCAAATAATTTACTATACTTTTTTCTAGCTTCCCACGCCTCTAATTTACTACTATACTCATTAGCAAGTAATACCCAGGTGTTTAACGTCATTTGGTTGTTATTCCTAGCCTCATTAAATAATTTTGAATATTTACTACTATGTTTTAATCTTATTAATGTTATTGCTTTCTCTCTATTCCAATCAAAACTGAATCTTTGTTTTAAAGCCATTTTATGGGCAAAAATTTTGATATTTATAAAATGTTTTTAATCATAAAAAATATTCTATTAAAATTTAAAAACTAATTTTAATTAAAAAATTTTTTGATTAAATTAGTTTTTTTAATTTTTTATTTATGATTGAATATTTAACAGAAATAATAGAATTTTATCAAACGAAATTAAAATGTAAATTATTAAAGAAGAAAAGATCTAAATCAGCACTAAAAACTTCTTAATGATAATTTACCTGCTATATTATAGATATTCAGTAGAATTTGGAGTTGCAACACTCACTTTTACAGAATCAATAATTATAAATATAACAGCTGTATTCCTTATTATTTCAATTATAAAGGCAATATTTACATTCATTCTTTTCTCACTAACTAACTCTATAAAAATTTTCATAAAATTTTACTTTGTTTATCAAAATTATGATCAATTAGTAAAGTTATTAGATAAAAACAATTAATGTTTGTGTAAATAAATAAAGAAAGTTAAAACATTTTATAAATATTTATTTTATGATTGGACAGCCTGAAGTTATAACCATTCTTAATTCAATATCAATATTACTAACTATGTTACCTACACTTATAGGTGTGGGTATTGGACTTAGTTTAGCTACAGAGGGTATTTGTAAATCAATAGAATATGATTTAGATTTAACATTTTCTATTATGCCAATGGCATTCACTTCTGCACCTGCAATATACTCATTGCTTTTATACTTTTTTATGGATTCAAAAAGCCCTAAAACACTTTCGGGTGCAATTAAGTGTTTAGGTGGTTGTGCTATTCAGGGAATAGCTTGTGGTAGTTGTGGATATATTATGGGGAATATAGCTAGAAATGCAGCTGTAGCAAGAGCTAAACAAAAGAAATTTACTTCAAGTTACTTCTTATTATTAATTTTTGGTGAATTAGTTGGACTTTTATCTTTAGTTTTAGGAATGTTAATTTTATCAACAGCTAAATAAAGTTTAAAATTGATCAATTTTTTTTTATTTTTTTGTATTCTCAAATCATGTTTCATTCTTCTATCAAGTCTTAAAACTTTACCACGTCCTCTCTTAATGTGTGTTGGCCCACCTCTTCTATTAGCAAATACTAGTCTTAATTTATTTCTTTGTTTTTTAATTGCGTTCTTAAATTCCTTTTTATAAATAACTGCCTCCTCTTTTTCATCT